AATGTGTTGTCATCGATAGAACCGTTTTCGTAGCTCAACAGAAACAGGTCTTGGAGCTCGCGAAAGGAAGCCATGACAAAATTTTTCGATGGTTTTAGGTCCATGTTTACAAGAACTAAGGTCTGTTTACATGTACTCGCACTTGGTTTTCACGCCGTGAACGACGTCCTCGACCCAGTCCTACAACAATTTTACTCGTCGTCGTCGTCCCATTCGTCGTCGGTGCTTAAGGTCCCTAGTAACCAAGTGGGACAACTTATCCATGCGTGGATGCCCCTTCCTCCCCTCTCCTCCCCCAAGAACCCAACACAGTGACCTCAGCCGGCGTTCAAACTCGAACCGCTCGATCAAAAGTCCAACGTACTAACCATTGTAATCATAAGGCTATCGAAAATCCCATAATAACCGTATTTCTATAATATTAACACCTGAGAGATGGACGTATTGGATAGGTTAGCTGAGATGATTTTAGTACCCTGTGATCTCCTAATTTATTGACTGTTTTGTCGTTTTTTTTTTTTTTCAGTGGATATCTATACGCGCATATTTCCTATCTGGAAGACAACTGTCCAGCTTGTCTGTTGTTACTTTCCACTGATCGTAACGCCTTCTTTGAATTAGCGGAAACAAGGCTGAAAACGCTAGAGGTGAACACTTTTTCAATCTACATGTTGTCTATGTTTACTTTTACATGGTGAAGACTGATGAATGTTGGAAAACAAATTAATAAGGCTTGGGGATTGGGGGGGGGGGGGTCGTGGGGAAATTATGTTAGAGAAACTAGACGAAAAAGTGTCAAGCGCTATGTCAGGACCTACATATACCTTATGTGGTGTTTATAAGTAGTGAAAAATAAAATTAGTGACTGTCAATAGAAGTGAGCAGTACTAACAACAAGTAAGAGCAGCAACAACACAAACAACAACAACGAACAGGTCCCACCATCACCACCACCACAACAACAGCAACAATTACATCAACAATACAGATTCAAATCAGTATTATTGAACAAATAAGTTCAACAAGTACGAACATCGTGGTGATAATCCAAGTACGTAGTTAAAAGTCTGTTCCGTCTTTTGGCAGCTGTTTTTACAGGACGTTTATGGTCCCAGCAATTAGAAGTTCACAGATAGTGGTCACGTTTACATATCTGATAGGTTATGCCTATTTGCTTTGTTTTTCTCGACTCAGGATGTTTAAAACTGTTTATTTCAGCGTTTGAAAAGATACAGATGTATAGAAGCTATTAATGAGGCTGTAGCGAAAAAGAGTTATAGTACAGGTGACGTTGTGTTTTATCCTCACCGTTCCCTTCGTGTCTTTCTGTTTTTTTTTTCCAGTTTGTAGGTCTGTGTCTGATACCTATTACGAGCTAATTGTACATTTATGCTTCGTTTTTGTTTTTTTGCAGATCAAGTCGGTATTCCAGAACTGTATCATTTTGTTTATAAGTCAAAAAGTACAGCGCAGTACACGTCTCCTGAACTCGAGGCTCCTTATGTTGAACCTGAAGAACAAGACAGGTATGAAAGAAGTAACGACCGAAGGAAGAAAGGAGGGAAGGAAGGAGAGAAGAAAGCAGGGAGGGAGGAGTAGGGGCGGATCCAGAAAATACAGATAGAGGGGCCGAGACACTTTAAGCAGAGCGCAAACAAATCCCGCCCTCCCCCCCCCCCCNAGAATTTTGTAGATGGCCAAGATACTGCGACTGAGCTCTTGGTTTTGTATAAAAAAAAAAAAAAAAATTCAGAAAAGAAAAAATCTGCTCCAAAGACGGCCTGTCAATTTTTTCGAGAGTACAAGAAAACAAGAGGGGCCACGGCCTCCCGAAATCCACCGCTAGGGAGAAAGGGGACAGGGAGGAAGGAAGGAGGTAAAGAAGGACAGAGGAAGGGACTAATGGGAAGAAATAAATGAAAGAAGGAGGGGGAAGGGAGGGACCGGAGGGAGGGAGAAAGGAGAGAGTGGAAACTATGATCAGCATTCAGCGTTTTATCTCCGTAGTTTCTAAAGTAACTATCTGTCTTATTCCTTTCCAGGCTCTTCGGTTTATATCTTTATCTTCATCATCGGATCCACTCAGCTGCCAGGCCTCTGAAAATTTTATGTCACGTGGGCACACGAGAGATGTTGCTGGGATGGGTACGTACAAAGAAATACATTGCAAAATACATGAGTAGTAATTGTCTCAGATGCATAAATGGTAACCCTTCGATGGGAGGGTTGCGATAGCCATAGCCGCTAGCTGCTACAAAAACTGTTATTTACCGCTACATTGTACATGTGCAATCGTTGTTAAACACTGTGTCTCGTTTTGCAGGTTACTTCAGGTTTTGAGTTATACGCTGCCTTCAGTCCGCTTGTCACCAAACCTGACGCCATCAATGCTATCAACAAACTTTTGAGATGGATCAAGGTTTGTGGCCAATGATGTTTTTCTCCTATCTACCTTGTTCAAAGGCTTGCTAGAATCTTATTGTTCCATGGTTGTAAATTCTATTGCTCCACCTCGTAGTAGCCATACTAATTAGCAGTTCAAGTTATTTATTGACTCTAGAGTGCCCCCAGGACAGTGATTTTTGTGTTTATTGTTATCTAAAAGTAGTGCTTAGCTGACACTCCACGGAATAGCACAGTAAAGCTTCGTTGGAAATTTAGCATGCAACTACCGAAACACGGGCAAACGAATATGTGAAAGATCGTATATTTGAACTGCGGAGAAAGATAGGAAGACATCAATGAAATTAAAGCCTGAAAGTAAAAATTCAGGCCTGAACGGGATTCGAATCCTTGACCTCTGCGATACCGATGCAGTGCTCTACCAACTGAGCTATCAAGCCAACTGGGAGCTGGCCACATTGTGAGTTCGTCATGTACCCGTAGATGGTATAGTCTGGTAATTTGGTTATTTTCTCTGTTATTGTTTTTAGCGCGAAGAAGAGCGACTCTTCATTTTAAGCTCACAAGTATTCTAAGGATCCTATCATTCTGGGATATGGAGTCAGTTCTGTCTTCGGAGCGTCAGAGGAAGGCTGGGTCTACCCACGCTGCTTTTCAAGCCTCGCAGAAGCAAGACCGCTGATGGTCTAAAACCCAGAAATGATATTCAGCTGGATAAATTATAGTTATTTTCAAGATTATTTTGATTTAATAATGAAACCGTCTCTGCAGAATGGAAATCCAGATGTAAAGAACAGTAAGAAATAAAATTTCACCGTCGACTGGAGTCTCAGTGTCTGCAGTAGCCTGTGATGCATCAAGACTCAGCTGTTAAAATCCCGGCTGAACACTCGTCATTTTGCCAAATTGCGGTCGAACAAACCAGTACAAGAGAAACAAAATAACTTCGTCGTGATAATCTACATCATTAACTTCACAGAGTAAGAGGTTCGCTCGCTAACGCTAACCTGCGAGTTGCTTCTTTTGTGGGTTGTTCAACGAGAGGCGCAAGTCAAGGAAAACAAATGACAGCGCGGGGGCCATTTTCTCGAATTTCTTCGCTTCTCGCTCGGCGAACCTCGATGGACTGGGAATTAGTATGTGCGTGTGCTGGTTCATCGTTTAAAAAGAATAGAAACTGAAAGGTAAAAACAGAGGCGCTTTCCACTCGACCAGAAATTCCAGTTTGCATTTCCGGAAATTTCCAGTCACAAATGGAACGGCATTTCCCGGAATTTCAGGAAAAGAGAACAACCTCGCGAGGTATACCTTGCCAAGTTCCTAGGCCTCAAAATTGCCCCGAGGTCAGTCATTTCTAGGCACGTGGTCCGGGGCGAAAGTTCGTTTCGAATGCGTAACCGAAATCAATTGACCGTGAAGGTCTGGGAGAAAGCCGTACAGGAACAAGGCAAAGGTATACCCAAATTTTCGAAAATTCCCTTTCTATTTGATTTTCCTCCCGGAAGTTTCGGTTGAATGGTTCGCATTTCGAAAATTCATAATTCTCGGATTTTCCGGCATTTTAGTATCATTTGTCTTTCTTTCGAAAGTCCCAGAATTTCTGGTTGAATGGAAAGCGCCCCAAGTGAGAGATGTCGACCTTCTCACGTTTTGAGAGGTCAGAGTACAGTGCACTGCTGGTTGTCAATTCTACTGTGTGAAATGCTGTACATAGTGTACAGAGCTGTTTTCATAGTTCTTGCCCATCTTATACCAGTACAAAATTTTAAATAGGTACAGATGAAACCTTAGCTTGAAAGAAGCGGAAGATTTGTAACAATTATACACTACGATGATGAAATTAAAAAGGCGTTCTCAGGCTTTGTTGTTTGTTTTGAAGAAAACAACCACACCGACAAAAATAATCGTATTTTTTATCATTAAGTTCAACAGTTAACCCGCTCCTGCTTTCTGTTGAGTGATTGCAGTCCCCCCCTCCCCGGCGCTTAGGGATGATCAGAAATGAAGCCCCATTGATGTGATCGCATGTACCCGGGATAAACACCCCCACCCCCTGCCAAGGCAGCTTTATTAAGCGTTTATATTTATTAAGACAAGTTGTCCCTTGTTGGGCTAATCAAATTTGACCCCGTGAATATTCATCACCCTTGTTGGATATTCAAACGCGCAGTTATGCCTGTTTCTTTGAGTTGAATTTTCCAAAGAAACAAGTAAAAAGCTAGGTCGGGCAGGGTAACCCGAGGGGGAGAGGAACGGGAGTGTTGCAGGTACCAGAGACCATATAAACGGGTCCTAACCGTTTTATTACGTTACTGTCGACTCGGCAGAAATCATGCGCACTTTAACCGTCCATGCACGTGCTTCAAGGCTTCCTTCTATGATGTTCCTACGTTTTGAACCACTGTTTACAAAGTTTGTCAGACATCCGTTACACTTACTTAACTTCTGATTTTGTTTGATTTCCCCTTACCTGGGTGTAACAAAATTGCTTATAAATAACGTCGCCTAGAACTTTTCAGCTAACAACTTCGTTTACAATAAAAAAAGGCTTGATCTGTTAAGTCTCGAAAACAATAAAGAGTATCTTTCTACATGCAATGTGAGTAGTTTTCAAAAATTATTTTCTGAGATTTTACCATTCCCATGTGCCTTTTAGCTCTGGAGAAATTCGCGGAAGATTTCTAATTACAGTGAAACCTCTATTAAGTGGACACTTAGCCTGGTCCCGAAATTAGCGTGTCATATTTCCCTTTATAACAAACTCCTATTCAGCGGACACCTCTGTTAACGGACGCGGACACCAAAACAAATTGTATTCGGCTGATTTATATTGTTAAAAGCCTCTATTAAGCGGACACCGGACTGAATTGACAATGTGGCATTGGATTACGTCCTTGAAATAGTCGATTAAATGTACCCTTATCGTTGCTGTATGGAGAGGGCATTATTGCAAACAAGTTAAAAGTTGGTAATGAAAGCTGATTAACTTGAATTCTGGATAGCTTCGTTAACAACCTGGAACTTTATTACAGTACAGAGGAACCGTTGAATGTTAATTAACAAACATTGCGCAGTTACCATAAACCTTTATTAAGCGGACACCCTCTATTAAGCGGACACATGGGAAGGTCCCGAGGGTGTCCGCTTAATAGAGATTTCACTGTATCATATCGCTAAATTTACAATGTTAGGAACTGGATAACTGTCTCATTCACTCTTCAATTATTTCTTCCCGTAAAGAAGTTTCCATTACATGTTGTCACCATATTGCACAGACTGAAATATTTCCTCGCGCGAAACTAACCTGACGTGATAATCGGGTTCTGGATGATTCACGAGCTTCACCACGAGATGCATTCTCTTGATTGGAAAAAAAAAATGAAAAAAAAAAGTGAATTACAGTAACAGCCCACGTATAAGAACCTGGGTTTTAAGAACCTGTTAGGCTAAAATTTTCATTTTAAGCCCCCTCCACATAAGAACCTATTAAGGCTAACATTTTAAGTTACGTTCTTATCAGTGGGGTTGCTGTAAAAGTGTATAGGTAGAAACTACTGAATTAAGATCATCATCTATTTTAAAGTAACTTGACATAACTTTTTTTTCTTTCAAGTTTAAGTACCATGTTGTATGTCTATTGTGTTTGCCATCCAAATAATTCCCCAAGTATTTGCAAGTACTGTACTCTACTACAGTATCAAAGAAAGCTTTC